CAAAAAGTTCAAGATAGGTAAAGAAAGCAATAAATATGCATAATTCAATGCAATTTGATAAGTTTTTTTTAAAATTATGCACATATTAGACAACTACCTGAGAACTAGTTACCATAGATTTGAGTCCTGGACTCTTCTCTACTATTAAAGAAATTGGGAACACATTTGCCTCTTGTATTAAAATCTAAATCAAGCAATGTTTCTCTAATATAGATTATGTGCTAAATTAGTAGTAAGGCTTCGTTAAATTTTTAAGACATAAAAGGATTTTTTTTGTTTGTTTGAGACTGAGTCTCACTGTCACCCAGGCTGGAGTGCAGTGGTACAATCTCAGCTCACTGCAACCTCTGACTCCCAGATTCAAGTGATTCTCCTGCCTCAGCCTCCAGAGTAGCTGGGATTACAGCCTCCTGCCACCACAACCAGGTAATTTTTTTTTTTTTTTTTTTTGTATTTCCAGTAGAGACAGTGTTTCACCGTGTTGGCCAGGCTGGTTCCGAACTCCTGACCTCAGGTGATCCACCCGTTTCAGCCTCCCAAAGTGCTGGGATTACAGGTGTGAGCCACCATATCTGGCCAAGACATAAAGATATTTTAAAATACTCTCACCTAAGGACATATGTTTAATGAGATTGGAGTCTACCAACTCATGCTTTAAAAAATTAAATAGGCAACTAAGCTGGGTATGGTGGTGCATACCTGTAGTCCCAGCTACTCAAGAGGCTGAGGCAAGAGGATTGCTTGAGGCTAGGAGTTCAAATCTAGCCTGGGCAAAATAGCAAGACCCCATCTCAAAAAAAATGAAACAAAAAAATCAAAGAGGCAACTTAGAATAAATAGACTTGGCAGCTGACAGGATATATCAAAATTTTGCCTTTCTCTTTTTATGCCATCATTTTTATTAGCTATTCAAGTAACTAATTTTATATTCCCTGCACCAGAAAAAAAAATATGTTTATCCTATCACTTTTCATTTAAAGGATTAAACCTGTAATTATCTTTTGCTTCATATACAGCTGAGCTGCTCCAGAATTCTTCTGTCAAGTACACACTTCTTATGAATTAAACATATCATGAAAATGGCAGATAGCAATGCAATTCATTAGGAACACTGAACCTAGCCCCAGCCCTAATTTTATCCTCAGAAATACAAGGAGGGAAACAGAAAATTTAAACTACTTTCAAGGAAAAAACTTATATTTTCATGGAAAAATATTGGTAAGACAATAAAGATGCCTATTACTTGATTTTATGGAAATATTTCTTCATTCTCTCTTCCTTAAGACAACTGCATGATAAAAATAATAATCTATTTACTTGGAATATTAATATGTGCCTAACTGTTTAACTTTTGGCCTATTGCTATCAGACTCAGATGATAAGAAGAAAAACTAGTCAATGAAAGAGAAGTCTTTAACATTCTCTGAGAAAGACAGCAATATGCACATCAAGACTGATATGGTCCCCACCCAAATCTCAACTTGAGTTGTATCTCCCAGAACTCCCATGTGTTGTGGGAGGGACCCAGGGAGAGGTAATTGAATCATGGGGGCCTGGTCTTTCCCATGTTATCCTCATGATAATGAGTAAGTCTCAGAGATCTGATGGGTTTATCAGGGGTTTCTGCTTTTGCTTCTTCCTCATTTTCTCTTGCTGCCACCATGTAAGAAGTGTCTTTCACCTCCCACCATGATTCTGATGTCCCCAGCCATGTGGAACTGTTAAGCCCAATTAAACCTCTTTATCAGCAGAGTAAAAACAGACTAATACAAAGACTAAAAATAAAGTCCATATCAAAGTTATTTTATCTATAGACCTCAGTACATTGTTGAACATATTGTAATAAAGTCTATGGACAGTCACAATATAAAGTCACCTGATTACTTTATAATCATTAGTATTTCATCCTTCTGTCATTCTTGGAGACGATGATTGTTGGCAGGAAATTAAGCCAAAGACCCTGATGAAGCCAACACAATAAAAATCACACCTTACATTTATCTCTCCCTATAACTCCTTATTTAAAACCTAAGCTACAAATGCTTCCTTCCTAAAGGTTCACAGGACAAAAATGATAAAATGTGGAATAAGCTATAAATTTAAATTGTGATGCAGACAATAAATTATAGAGGAACCCAAAACCTCCTGTTCCCTGCCAACAAAGTGTACTCTTTTAAAAATGATGGGCCTCATCCAGGGGTGATTAAAGCTGAAACCAATCCAGTAATTCATTGAGAGCTTAATGTCTCATTGCAAGGGATGCCTGTATTTCAATTTGGAGAAAATCTTGCTTTAAAAAATAGCATATTTTAAAAAGTAAATCTGGTTTCTCATTAATTATACTATATGCTGTAGAACAAAATGTGGCATAAAATACCCACCACGGGTATAATCTGGTTGGAGGGATAATTAATTGTTGAAATGCTAAGACCATGAATTATTTTTGTTAGCTTCAGCTTCAAGGCATTCCACAGCATGGAACCTACCCAAGTATTATAATGAGTCTACAGCATTATCCTATCCCTGAATTGTGGTGTTCTGTGTGATATCAAAGGGATCTCAGATCAGTTTCTATGATTTAAAAGATTCCAATATTTTTATTCTTCCAGAAATAGATGAGTTCTTGAAGAGTATAGTCCTAATTTTCCCACTCAATTCAGAAATAAATCTCTTTGATATCAATGGCATAAGATAAAGTCTATTGTATAAGCAGATGGGAATAAAGGACTAAATTACCAGATTTATATTTTAAAACTATAATACTAAAAGAAGCAATACAACATCACTCAAGAAGTATTATTGAAAATGGAGGTAACTCATAAAAACTTTAGATAAGACTTTGATATTTTAAAATTCTTAAATAGTAAAATTTCTTATTGAGGAACACATAACGGGAAAGCCAGCAGAAAATATGTGGAATAATTTAAAGGACCTAAAGAAAAAAAAAATTCACATCACATCTGTGACCTTTGAAAGAGTTAAATATTTATGGTCCAAAACCAATTTATAGTGGCCAAGAGACAATAAGCTCTGCTAGTACTAATACAATAATCCAACACTCTCTACAATAACATTATTTTAAATTTAGATATCATACTTATACTTTTTGTATGAAAAATAGAAGTAATAATTTTCCTACAGGATGTTTTATTTAAAATTAAAAACATAAAGCCATTCGCATATGAACTTGTGTAATAGGCTAAATACATATCAATACCACCATACATATTTATGAAATGGGTTTTAATGAAATTGGAAATCAATGATTCTTCATTTTTATTGACTAATGAATATATTATAAACTCTATAATTCAGTTAATTGGAAGAGAATTTTGGAAACAATCATAATGGAGAGACTCTGGAAACAGTACTGACATCTAGTCTTATCGCATAAAAGATTTTCAGAAAGAATTAGCTGTCATTTTTCTAAATAGGAAATTAACATAGTAGCCACACATAGTTCCAGGAGAATGTGCCTAGACGAGGTAAGACAAGCATAAGAGAAGGACAAAGATGAGAGCAGGCTCCTCATCTCCTCTTTGCCTCACTGCTGATGGACAGTGATTCTTCTGTATCTGTGAAAGCACACACTTGTGACCAGGTTCCAGAAATTGCCATCCAAAATAGGCAGAGAGTCTGTCGTGTGGGAACCCTGCCACCATCTCCCACCATTATGGCCCTAGCGTGTGAAATAAGGGACAATGGGAAAGTGTCCCTTTCTACATCTTCCTGAAGTCTCCTGAAATTCATGTTTTAGTCCTATCTCATTTTTAACAGGCAATAAGGTGCAGAAATTCAGGAGTGATACTAGAGAAAAAGCTGCAGATTTTCCTGCAGCCTAGTAAACCACCAGTTCAAAGCACTTACATATACAGAACACAAATTGGACACCACCTGTGTATAATTTGAAATTAATGTCCACCAATTACTGGTAGTAACTAGTCTAGTAGTAATGTCCATTACTTATTCCACTAACAATAACAATTTCTACTTATTAGACAAGAGATCATACAAAGGTTTTATTCTCCAGATCATGCTAATAGAATAAGAATGTAGATTTATAAACCAGTGACCAAAATACCACCTGGTTGACAAACAACACTTTGATAAATGATAATAACAGTCTTTGAAACATTATAATTACACAGAAAAAAAAAAGGATTCAGTACACTGAGAAATGAATTGACTAAATACATAATTATAAACATAATATATGAAGTGAATAATTTCACAGTCTTGGTAGCTCATTTCACTTTGATTCTGATATCAGTGCTCTATTTTACTTTCATTTTAAACATGCATAATATCTTTATTAAACAAGAGGATTTAATTTAATGTACCTACTTATGTAACAACCTGTAATTTTATTATTAATGATCCTTAATAGCAAAGCAAAAATCTCCTGGAGCCATGTGAAAGCAGTTGGGTCATTGAGAGTTATCTAATCTTCCCTTCCATTTGTAAAAGAAGGATCACTGGCTGGCAAGAATGGATGAAGAGGTTTATTCCACAACGAAAATCTATGAGGCTAAGTTGAAAACTCAGCTATAACATCTGGGTATTGGTATAGTACAATGGTGGAAGCTACTGCTTAGTCACCAAGTTTTGACCAGTCAACAACCAATGTGGCCAATTGTTCACAAATAATTCCATTTCACCTCAATTCTTTCGATCAATATGGATAGATATGAAAGTTCTTGAATGTAATAATTATTTTAAATTCCAAAGAACAGGGATCTATCTAAATCTGAATCGTTTCCCAAAGCTGTTTGACAGTGGACTAAACATCTCTAGGCTCCTATTCAGCCTCTAGTGATAACCAGTAATGTCTCCAATTATATTCACCAAAATGTTTTCATCACATCATCCTAAACTAAGAGCAGAATGTTATTTTAGTAAAGGCAGAACTTTAAAACAGAAATCTTCCCAACAGAAATTTTAGAAACATTTTAAAAATCACATTAGAAATGTAAAATTCACTGTTTTGAGCCAACACTGACCTTCTGTTCCAAAAGCAATGTGTTTGTAGGGATTGCTGCAAAATCCTTGTAGCTTGACTTGGTCTTGTATTGCTAGAATGGACAACCAGAAAGCAAGAGTAGAGATGAAAATGGAAAGGAATATGGCATAATTTTCAGACAGTTCTACCAAGTTAAATGACACATTATCAAATGAATAAAAGGGTTATTATGCTGAACAACTAGTTTCTGACAGAAAAAAATTAGTTTACCATGTTAATATTAGAGTGAGAAGCAAAGAAATGCCACAGTAAAATATCAGCCTAGAGATTACAGGCAATTACATGCTGCTCAGTTTCAGAGCTTAAAAACTTCCTTTACACAAAGTTATACATAAATGTTTCATTAGCAGCATACCCTCAGGCGTATTATTCTATACATGAGGACAGGGCGTGGTTCTGCTTAATCCTCAAAGGAATGTTTCTTTTTTAGAGTGTCACAATTAACAAATATTATGCCAATAAGTGTAATTGAGCTCTTGATCATTTTCTTGCATCCACAAAGATCAAAAAACATAAAATTTAGCAGCCATTTTTTATACAAGCAGCAAAGTAGTCAATAATTTGAACATAAATAATATCAGCAATGTAACTCTCTAAAGAAAAGCAAAAAGCACATCCTCTGGATCTTAAACTACTTTTTTAAATCTCATCTGCACTTTCTAATAATTATGTTAATGAAGCAAATGCTAAAACTTCCTAAGTGTTAAGTATGACTCAGAATAGTATAGTTCAGTGTTGTAGAATATTTGGGGGAGGGGGCAAGCATGAGGAAGCTGTAGAAATCAGGATAAAAATGCATAATCAAAAACTCAGTTTCGATACTGCTCTGAGTCTCCAGTTGCTTAACGCAGTTCAAGGCTCCTGTCACTTCAGATGCCCTTGCCTCAGGTAATTTCCCCAGTGGCCAGAACCAGTGAGGAAATTGGCATGGAGCTCCAGGCTATCTTAGTGTCTTTAAAAGCAAACCAAAGTGTCTGCAGAAGACAGTGCCATCAAATAAATTTGAAACTTGGGTTTTAAACATGTAATTGAAGGAAACTTTCTTTAAAAGGGGTTGTGAAGATAAGATGCTAGAACCTTCTTTTTCCTTAGGAAAAAGTTGAAGTCGTTAGGAATCAAAGTGTCAGGCCCAACAGAAAGTCAACATCCAGCTAACAGCAGAACGCATTCTTTCTTTTTTTTTTTTTTTACTGTTTTATTTCTTTTCTTGCATTACAGATAGTGAAAAGGAATTAGCAACCCAAGGACTGCATTTCAAAAAGTGACATAGAAAGTCCCACTAGCAGGCTGGGTGCAGTGGCTCACGCTTGTGATCCCAGCACTTTGGGAGGCCAAGGCAAGCGGATCACAAGGTCAGGAGTTTGAGACCAGCCTAGCCAATATGGCAAAACCCCATCTCTACTAAAAATACAAAAATTAGCTGGGCGTGGTGGCGTACACTTGTAGTTCCAGCTACTTGGGAGGCTGAGGCAGAAGAATCTCTTAAACCCAGGAGGCAAAGGTTTCAGTAAGCCAAAGCCACTGCACTTCCAGTCTGGGCAACAGAGCAAGACTCCGTCTCAAAAAAAAAAAAGAAAGAAAGAAAGAAAGTAACCCAGTCAGATAATCAGTCACTAACAATTCCTACTTATTCCTATTTACAAACACATGCTCACTTACAGAATCTCATTCATACACAGGAATATATACCTCTATACATATGTACTCACATACAGACACACACATATTCATTCACAAACACACACACAGTAAAACATGAACAAGAGCTCAGAAGTTACACACTTTTTCCCAAAAGACTGTACTCTGAATGTTTACTTATCTTCTACTTTCCCTCTACCATACAGCTCTTCTCCCTCATAGGAAGAAGCTATGTGGCTTTCTGCAAGTCTCTCAACTCTGAAGGAACCTACACTCCCATCTCCTACATGAGGGGCAATTGCTGGAAGATGTTTCAGGTTGCTTCAAGCCCTAAGTTACTAAATCGACCCTGTACTGCTGTGGTCTCTAGATAACAATATATTTGAATAAGGATTGAAATTGAAATACTATCTTTCCATGGGCTGACATTTATTACTATGCTGACATTTATTACTATTACTCACTTAATTTTACAGCAGCCCTATAACTAGAGAGTTACTAAGAAAAGCAGAGGTCAAACGACTTGTCCAAGACCACGCCTGCCTGTGTCCAACATACATGCTTTCTCTATAACATTTTATTCCAAAGAATACATAAGCATACATGTAATGCAGAATAAAATACACCACCTCACTCTACGATGGTTTTATGAATCATTAATTTTGGTTGCAATCATAATAATAACAATATCTAACAATCGCTATGAGCCAGGTACAATTCTAAAAGCTTTATATGAATTAGCTCACTCATCACTACAAAGCTATTAGGTAGATACTATCTTAAAATAACTAATTGAAGGTGACCAACTAGTACATGTAAGTCATAGCTGAACTTTGGACACGCCCACTCTAACCCAACAACAATGCACATATCTACAAATGCCCTTGCCTCTTCCTTCAGGATGCGTAATCATTTACAATGTTTGTTCTCCTATCCTCAACTTCCCTAAGGAATATAGCTGGGAAAGCCTGTACAGAGACATGTCTTGTTATTGCACACAAAATATCACAGAATCTTACAATAAGAAGTGATATTGAAGGTCATTGGTTCAACCTCCCCATCTGAGACATGAATCCCTGTTCTGTTTAGTAGCCAAATGAATAGTTGCTTGCCTCCTAAGGCAACACATTCAGGTCTAATTGTTAGAATTAGTACAAAATTCTCCCCTACATTGAGCCAAAATATGCTTCCTGCTAACTTATCTCATTAGTACTATTTCCCCGCACTTGAAATCATGACTCATGTCAAAAGCTCCCTTCTGCATGATAATTATATTGCTGCCTTCACCAACTCCCTGATACTCAAGTGCAGAATTCTACCACCCTCATTGCTCTCCTCTGATATTCCTTAAAATTATAAAATGTGATTAACTAGAGGTGTTTTTAGCACATAGTAAAATATAGTCATCACCTCCATGATATTGACGATAAACTCAATTAATGTAATGAAGATAATAATTGGGATCATCTCCTTAGTTCTTGTGGAGAGTTTAAAAATATGCAAGAATGGAGGCTGGAGTTACTTCATATTGTTGGATGATACTGAGTAGGCTTATCACCTAAATTCCTAATTCTTTCATCATTTTTCAAAACATTTGCCAATAGCTACATCCTATAAATATGCTTATTTATACCTTTTTAGACCCAAAAATAGGGCTGTAGGCATTATCTTTATCAAGTTTTATCTGATTAGATTGGGTTTGTCATTGTAAGCAATAAAGATAAGAATTTTTAGATTATTTCATGAAACATTTTGTTAGGTGTGTCATTTTTATCTTCACTCAAGTCATATACTAAGGACTGGGAGCTCCTGTCACTGGGTTCTTCCAATTTGGTGGACATTAACTGATCCTGTAAATCTATTTGAATATGAAATGTTCAACTAATGTATTCATTCATGAAATATTTTCTTTCTCTTTTTTTTTTTTTTTTTTTTTTTGAAACCATGTCCTTCTCTGTTGCCTAGGCCAGAGAGCCATGGTACAATCATGACCTACTGCAGCCTCTACCTCCTGAGCTCAAGTAATTCTTCCACCTCAGCCTCCAGAGCATCTGGTAGTACAGGCATGTGGCACCATATCCAGCTAATTTATTTTCATTTTTTTTTTTTTTTTGTAGAGATGGGTTCTTACCATGGTGTTCAGATTTGTCTTTAATTCTTAGGTTTAAGCTATCCTCCTGCCTTAGCCTCCCAAAGTGCTGGGATTACAGGCGTAAGCCCCCATGCCTGGCCAAGAAATATTTATTGAGTACCTACTACATGACATGCACTATTCCTCTAAAATGTACATATCCTTCTCTTTTCAATCTAGGAATCCCATTTGTTGCCATAAAAGATACATTTTGAGTCCACTGTCCTTCCTCTAGTTTCTCTTAACAATATATACTCAAGCTAAATATAAATTTTTTATTCTAATTTGGAACATAGTTCCTTTTAAGCATTCCAAGGGTTCCAGGTGCTAAACCAAATTCATTCATTTTCCTTTTTGGTTTAAAATTATTAATCATTCTAATTTTAGATAACTTGAATTATAGTATATGGAATTACAGGGTTAGAACAAACATTAGCTAATCAGAGAAGGCAAGAATGACCAGCCTAAACCTGAAATCTGGCAAACAATGCAGTAATACCTATTGATTCTCTCCAATTTGTGATCTATGCTTTCAGTTAACATTCAATAAGTATTTCTTAAATATCCTCCGCATGGTGCAGGGCAAAGTTTGGACTTGGTAAACAAAATGGCACTTTATTACTTATGTTTACCAGAGCTAATCTAGGCAATGCTAGTTGCTAGCTGCAATAAAATGCTGGGTTTGAAGGTTAGAGAAGCAAAAACACATTCTGCCCCTTCAGAAAATATTTTCCTCCATGGTCATACATCCTACTGCTGATGCCTAAAATTCCACCACAGGCTCTAGTAATAAAGATCCATGAGGTCACAAAGTGAACTATGTTAGTTGCCTTGGGAATCAGGGATTTGGACTGATAGTTACACTTTAAGTGCAATAAATCAGGGCCCCTAACCCCCAGAGCACAGACTGGTACCTGTCAAGAATTGGGCCAAACAGCAAGAAGTGAACAGCAGGTGAGTATGCATGACCACCTAAGCGCCATCTCCTATGAGTTCAGCAGCAGCATTAGATTCTCATAGGAATGCAAACCCTATTGTGAACCACGCAGACAAAGGATCCAGGTTGCGTGTTCCTTATGAGAATCTAATGCTTGATGATCTGAAGTGGAACAGTTTCATCCCAAAACCATCCCAACCCCCCAACCCATGGAAAAACTGTCTTCCATGAAACTGGCCCCCGGTGCCAAAAAGGTTGGAGACTGCTGCAGTAAATGAAAGAAACTTGGATTATATAAACAACAGGATAAGGAAACCCTGGCGAAGAACTTCTTTACCACCGTGTT